TAATAAGTGTACTTTCTATGCCAATATCTAAATCGTTGATGAAGATATTGAACAGAGCCGGTCCCAAAACAGACCTCTGCGGAACCCCACTTGTTATACCTTTCCAGCAGGATTGAGAACCATTAATAACTACTCTCTGAGTACGGTTATCCAGCCAGTTATGCACCCACCTTATAGTAGCCCCATCTAAGTTGTACTTGCCTAGTTTATTGACAAGAATATCATGCGAGACCGTATCAAACGCCTTACTAAAGTCTAGGTATATCACATCCACCGCTTCTCCCTTATCCACAAGACTCGTTATCCCATCAAAGAAAGCTATGAGATTGGTTTGACATGATTTGTTCTTTACAAATCCATGCTGGCTGTTCCCTATCACCTTACTATCTTCCAAGTGTTTGCAGATGATTTCCTTAATTACTTGCTCCATTATCTTCGCTTGCACAGAAGTCAAACTAACTGGTCTGTAGTTTCCTGGGTTGTTCTTGTTTCCCTTTTTATAGATGGGCACTATATTTGCCCTTTTCCAGTCTTCTGGAATCTCTCCTGTCTCCCATGATTTTCCAAAGATGATAGCTAGAGAATCAGATACCTCCTTTATCAGCTTGAGTATTCTAGGAGACATTTAATCAGTCCCTGGTGACTTGCAGGCATCTTACTTTTCTAGGTGATGTTTAACTTGGTTTTTTTTTTCATTTTATCTTCTAAACTGCCCCCCTTCCCACTAGCATTCACTATGTTAGGTACTCCTACAGACTTCTTGGTGAAGACCGAAACAAATAAGTCATTGAGCATCTCTGCCATTTCCAAGTTTCCTGTTACTGTTTCTTCCTCCTCACTGACCAGTGGGCCTACCCTCTCCTTGGTCTTCCTCTTGCTTCTAATGTATTTATAAAAAGTCTTCTTGTTTCCCTTTATTCCCGTAGCTAGTTTGAGCTCATTCTGTGCCTTTGCCTTTCTAATCTTGTCCCTGCATTCCTGTGCTATTTGCCTATATTCATCCTTTGTAATTTGTCCTACTTTCCATTTTTTATATGACTCCTTTTTTATTTTTAGATCATGCAAGATTTCGTGGTTAAGCCAAAGTAGTCTTTTGCCTTATTTTCTATCTTTCCTACGCAGTGGAATAGCTTGCTTTTGGGCCCTTAATAATGTCCCTTTGAAAAACTGCCAACTCTCCTCAGTTGTTTTCCCCCTCAGTCTTGATTCCCATGGGACCTTACCTAAATGTGGCCTCAGTTTCACTTTGATGGAGGTGCTCCATATTTAAACTGCAATAACTCAGTAGTACCTTACTTCTCTTGGGCTACTCGAGAAGTAAGATATTATTCTGCGTGATTGATGTTAGCAAACCCTGGCCCATTCTGACTAGAAAAAAACAAAGCTGGCATACATCTTTGAAGGTGTCAGTAATAAGATGTAGCTGTTAAAATATCTGTATAATATGAATATTGTGGGCCAAACTGGAAGCCCTTACTCAGTTTTCAATCTGAAAAAAAGCCAATGACTTCAGTGGGGGCTTTTCCAAGTAAAGAGTATAAAACTGAATGGGGACTTTGCGATCTGGTCCAATATAATCAGGCAAGAGCAGAACTTTCCATTCCCATGTTTAACATTTCTTACTACGAGGCAAATTCTATTACCCGCTGTCACACTGAGTAGTACCCTTCTACTCTTGGGCTACTCAAAAAGTAAGGTATTATTCAGTGTGATCAATGGCAGCAAACTCTGGCCCTTTGTGACTCAGACGATTTGCTGTGAGTACACAGGATGTTTAGTTATTCTAGGAAAAGGCTACTTTATTAAAGGAAAATGAAACTTACCTCAAAGTCTTCTGAGAAGCCATGTTGGTTATTAGAATAGAGCTCACTGATGTGTTTAACAAACTGTTTGACAGGAATGGCTTCCATGTCATCTGTAGAAAGAGAAAGATATTCAGAGTTGCTAGATAATGTTTTTTTCTGTAAATACATCTGGTATTTTTCATATCTGAGACTGAGATCCACAACTCCAGCTACAACCTCAGGTCAGAGAATATTTTACTGATGACTCATCTGAGTTCTCTAGTGGCATGGTGTGTACTGTATATACTTACAACAAATCCTAGAATATCTACTACTGATATCTGTGTGCAAATGTTGACGCTATATACTTAAACCTAGCCATTTCAAATATGAATTGTATTTTTGGGCCTGTAAAGCATTTTTGCAAAGCTATTCTTCAGCAAAATCTAAGTTACAGTATTATTATACTTTTGGGAGTACCTTAATTAAAGGCATTTTAAAAATGAAAGTAGTTGTGAGTTCTCAAAGTGACAATAAAAACTGGAGCACTTTTGTGGCAACTCATTCTGTAAGAATCACGTAATGACCACCCAAAAGACAAAGTACACTTTAAAAAATAGGCCTTGTGTCACGGCTGACAGCTCCTGACTCAGCAGCGACACAGGTGCATTTCCTGTAGTGGAGACATTTCTCTTTTTAATGCACAGTACCAGTAGTATTCCAATGAATCGGTAATGAAATACTATACAAGCGTCATTAACATTCAATTGGAAACAAAGAACAGCTTGGATAGTGTCATTTGAGTTTTCACTTTACTCCAAACACTGTTCCTAGCATGGCACATTCATTCTGCTGGACTGCTAACGACAGAGCAATTTCGATTCAGTATGGCAATAAATCCTGCACGCTTTCAATGAAGAAGAAACTAAGCATTTTGACTGATGCCATAAAAGCCCACGGGACATTTCTCTTGAAAGAAGTTCCTCGGAAATCAAGACATCATGAAAAACCAGGAGAGAGCTGGTAAAGTTGGGATGTCTGGGGACCCACCTCTGACAGCGCTTGTTTAGAGGAACAATTAGCACGCAGCAAACCGGCTGTAAATCTGCAGCGCACTGAGGCTATGTCTAGACTACACTTCTCTGTCGACAGAGAGATGTAGATTAGGCACATCGAAATTGCTAATGAAGCAGGAATCTAAATATCCTGCTCTTCATTAGCATAAACATGGCCACTGCTTTTTTTCGAAACGGAGCTTTTTTGAAAAAAAAAAAATGAAACAAAGAAACCAGCAGTCTATATGGGGATCTGTCGAAAAATAAACCCTTTTTTGAAAGATCCTGTAAACCTCATTTTTTGAGGAATATGGGATCTTTGAAAAACAGTGTGTGATATGGTTGAGTGCTACTGATTTTATAGAATTATAGAACACGAGAACTGGTATGGACCTTGAGAGATCATCAAGTCCAGTCCCCTGCCCTCACGGCAGGACCAAGCACCATTTAGATCATCTGTAATAGGTGTCTGTCTAACCCAGCAGTTCCCAACCTTTTCCAGATGGGGACCCATTTTGACAGTTCAGGAAGACTTGGTGACCCAAGGTAATTCAAAAATGGGCGGAAGAAGGGCGTCACAGCCACTTGGGGAGATACTTGGCGACCCTTTTGAAATGTAATGGCAACCCACGTTTGGGTCCCGACCGATAGGTTGGGAAACCCTGATCTAACCCATTCTTAAATATCTCCAGAGATGGAGATTTAACAATTTTTAGCACAGCTGCTCTGTTCATCTAGACAAGCCTTCTTATTTCCAGATTCTCAATATTGCTACATTAACTACTGCAACTGGTAAAATCACTTCATTTTCTGGGAGCAATCAGTTAACGTTTGCAGTATGACCCTTTGGAAAATGTAATGCACTACAACACAAGTGTGATTATTTTCAGCATGTGCAACTTACTGCCCGACAATTACTATTGTCTGATTGGATCATTCAAGGCACTATTCAGACATTTAATGTATTTTGCTGAAGATTATATGTGGCTTATGTTTACTTCAAGTACCTGTAAAATATTTTTCCTCCCATTCGATTTTGTGCTACCCCTGCATTTTTATCTGTATTCTCCTGCTTTTCAAAAATATCTACGTTATGATGGAAAGAAGTCCAAATATTTCTATAGATACTTAGCAAATTTTATAGAGAAACAAAGAGATATGTAACATTTATAGTATTCATAGAATCACAGAATACTAGAACTGGAAAGGACCTTGAGAGATCATCGAGTCCAGTCCCCTGCCCTCAGAGCAGGACCAAGCACTGTCTAGATCAGGGCTACTCAACTTTGGAAGCCCTGGAGGCCACAATGATACTCACAGCACATGCTGAGGGCTGCAACTTAAGTGTGGTTGCATGTACATGCAAATATATATGCAAATAGCTTCTTTCACACAATGCCCCGATGCTCCTGGCACCTCCTCTCTGGGGACTAGAAACACCGACACCCTGTACCCATCTGTTCCAGCCAGCTTTTCCGCTTGCATCTTTCAGTGTTCACCCTGACCGGGGGATGCCTCACCGTTGTGGAGCATCTTCCCAGTGGAGGCCATGTTCAAAGGATCCCACCTGCGGGCCGCGTGTTGAGCCCTGTGTAAACCCAAACTGCACTGTGGGCCGCAAACAAATGGGCTGCGGGTCGCATGTGGCCCATGGGCTGCCTGTTGAGAAGCCCTGGTCTAGATCATCCCTGATAGATGATTTAGAGTGAAAGATTTTTGGCAACCTAATAAATCTCGAAGGGATCACTAGCACCCTAGTTCGAACTAGGGTGGCTAATGTAGGCATTCGAACTTGCAAATGAAGCCCAGGATTTAAATATCCTAGGCTTCATTTGCATGTTCCTTGGCGGGCGCCATTTTTAAATCCCCTTAGTTCGAACTGACTGCCCACGGCTACATGCAGCAGTCAGAAGTTAATCCGAACTAAGACGTTAGTTCAGATTCACCGTTACTCCTCCTGCAATGAGGCTAGTGTAGACATACCCTAAGATATCACATATGTTGTTTTTTAAGCAAAAGGTATGAATATGTGAGGTTCTAGTATGGGAAGAATTGCATAGATCCAGCACAGAAAGTGTGATTTTTCTCTGGTTTCTGGAAGTTACTAATGACTGTGTCATTAGTCCTCTATTTTCATTTTCTCGGGTAAGGTTTTGGGGACACATTTTGCATCTATTGGCAGTTTTAAACTTGAATCATCCTTAGAGAATAAATATTCTATTTCATCTACTTTATTTACAGAGGCAATTGTTAAAAATGTATTTGCAATCTGATCACCTCATCACAGTAATTTTGAACATTTAAAGAGAGTTTTAGTAAACAGCCTTACAATACAGATTCACTAGCATTTTAAAAGCTTACATAAAGTGATATTTTAGAATACAATAATATTTAATTAAGACACATTTATATTTTCCCAGCCAAGGCATTTATGAATTCATGGATCACAGGGACAGAAATACCAACGATATGTAAAAGAATTTTCCTCCCCCAAAAGCAATATATGTCCTGAGCTTCCGCAAAAATACCCAATGCCATGTTAAGAATTTCACATAACACACAAATCACAAGCAAATGCTATTAATTATTAATGGATTATTATTGTTTATTTGTCCTGCCTAGAGACCAAGCTGAGACCAGGAGCCTACTGCATTAGGTCGGGATGTCTACTTCAATTTTGCAGAGAGCAAAACTCCATTTTAATTATGGGTGTGGCCCCAGCATTAGGGATGTAAAAATGTAATTGGTTAACCAGTTACCCTGTAAGCATTAGGCTTACCAGAATGCGTACGGTGTAACTGGTTAACCAGACCTTTCCCAATTTCCAGGGGATGGTCAGCAGCACCAGACCAGAACAGCCTTGTCTGAGTCTGGCCAGCCGGTGGGACTCTGGTCACGTTGGGGTGGGAGGCAGGGCCATGTGGTAGGCAGATGGGACCCTGGCCACAGCAGACAGGACCCCAGCTTCCCTAGAGTGGCCCCCTCCCCATCCATGAAAGGCAGGTTGGCCAGGAGCAGCCCCTAGCATGCCTACTCCACAGATCTAGCAGACCATAGCTCAGGTGGGACTCTAGCCCTGGTTGCCCTGCGCCGGCCCACCAATGGTTGACCAGTTAATGGGATCATTTTAATAGTTACCCGGTTAACTGTTTTGACCAATATTTGCATCCCTACCTGGCATACAATTACAATGACGAGCTCCCTTCAACCTATTGAATTCCCACTGACTGCAATGAGCATTTGGGACCAAAGATCAAGGACAGAATATGATCCTTGCGTATTAACTAAACTTTCAGCTATCATTATTGCTCAGTGACAATTATTGCTCAGTGACCTTTATACCCATAGCTAATTCTGCTCTCTCTTTTTTTCTTCCTTCCCCATGCTGCTTTCCATGCCTCTTCCCCCTTCTGTCTCTTTGGCTATGTCTAGACTACATGCCTTTTTCGAAAAAAGAGCATCTAGACTACAATCAGTACTTTCGAAAAAGTAAGCTGCTTTTTCGAAAGAGAGCACCCAGGCAGTCTGGATGCTCTCTTTCGAAAAAAGGCATTATTCCTACTAAAACGAGGTTTTCCGTGGTCGACAAAACCATCGTGTTCTTTCGATTTACTGTCGACAGAACACAGTGGCACTTTTTTCGAAAAATCCCTATGGTCTAGACAAACCCTTTGTCTCACTTCTCCTCTCTTTCCTCTGTATTTTCTCTGCCATAGCAACTCCTTAGTGACTCCATAGGCGTCCTCCCCATCCAGTTTCCCATCCCATTTGCTAAAAAGATCAGCAGTGAAATAATGAATAATGTTGACATGAAATTAATGGGTGACGGGGAGTTCACAGTTCTGGAGTGACTGTTTCTGCCTGCCTGTGGACTTGAGAATACACCACTGTACCAGCCGTAACAAACACGTAGCATTTGAAAGCTTAACTTCTCCACCATGCAAGTTAGAAACTTCATAAACTAAAATGTTAAGATTCTACAGCATGTGAATATGCTATGGAGAGTCATAAATACATTGAGTGCTCTGGAATTAGCCAGATAGTTAGCATCTCTGTGGTAGGCACTGTACAGACAC